AAATACCACTTCTGGATCTGTGATCTTGGCCTTTAAAGTCATATTTGGTCTTACAGAGTCATCTGAAGAAACAAATATAGGGACCATAAACGTTCTAGTAAAGTAAACCTTGTCACTTGTGTACACGTTATCTATAATTTGCTAAGTTGCATCTAATATCCTATTATGGATACAGTAAAATTAACAGTATTAATAACTGACTGGTTAATATGAATGATAACTGGTTATTAGCAAATGCTGGTTATGTGCAATCTGATCCCTGTTGTAAGAGGATCATTCCCACTTTGACCTAACAAAAATAATCTTGTTTTGAAGTTCTTTTTGTCAGAATCAATGTGCATGTATATATATATCTGAATATTACATCACGTTGCAGGAGCAAGGAAGGGGAAATGAGAGGGGAATATCAGGAGGAGGGTAGGAGATCCTGATAAACTAGACAGACCAATATTGTTTGTTTATTTTGATTTCACCCTGAAGTATATACTCAGTGTCGTACAATCTATAGTATAAATACATTAAATGTATATATGAATACAGAGATATCACATGATCACAGTTTAAGAAAGGTAAAGGAAAAAATAAAATTCTGACCTTCCCAGTAAACAGCAGTTTTCCAATCTTGCTGAGTTGCACATTAGAGAGAAAAATGCCTGACCTTAGACAATTATAATTTAACAGAGAAAATCATTGGTCTATTCGGAAATACTGGAATAAATGGTTTACGGGTCAAGGAGTGGCATCAGCATACATGGAGACCAGACATCTGCAACCCCTCTCCTGACTTGGAAGAGTCTGAGGTGATGTCCAGGGCTGTCACGTTGGGTCCTCCAATACCCTCGCCTTCTGCTTTTATCTGTTTAATTGCTCTTCAATATGCTATAATTCTTCCAAGTATTTTCTTTGAATAAGACTCCCTTTCTATAAAACAGGCTGCCAACCACAGGCTCAGATTAACTCCCTCTATTTCTGGATGAGTAAAGAAATGTTAGTGGCAGAGCTGGAACCAGAGCAGAGGTTTCTTGGCCCTGATTCTATATATATACTCCACCTCTCTCTTAAAAATCTATCCTTACTAAAGTTATTCTACTGAATACATTTAAATTCAAAAGAGTAACTTTATATTCTTAAATTATCCATTTCTTTTTTTTTCCTGTGTGTAATTTCTGTTAAAATACATGACAAGTTGTCATCTACAACAGATAAATTCTGCTAACCTTTCTCCATCTTGATTTTTGGCATGGCAGTCTGTCGTACTGGAATCTGTGATTCTTTGGCCAGATTTTCTGGACTCTGAGGTACAGCTTTGATAAAGAAATCTGCCACAGTCATCAGAAACTCCACACTGGCACAGACATACAGCTTGTCAAGAACAGCATCAATATGACTTCCATTTTTCCCTTGTTTGTAATTTATGTCAATCATAGAGCTGTTATCTTGGCCATTCTTCTTATCAATCATTCTAAAAAAAATAAATATACATCCATTATGTTATTCCTGCTAAAACAATTAAAAAGATGAAAAATTTCCTATACATCTTAATAATTCTTCTTTCACCTTTCAGCTTCCAATCTGAACAGAAAACAGATCAGTATTAAGTGGAGTATTAGCTTAATACTCCAGTATTAGTTTAATAGCTAATCAGCAACCAAAATATGGTCTCGTAATCTCCACAGCAAAGTTCATGTTAATAAGCAATTACAGAATATTTCATATAGAGAAACAAATCAATGACTGCTGAAAGGAAGTTTGGTAATTAGCAAAATGAGCCCCCCAAAATTTAAAAGACAATCTCTTTACATTATTTTACAAAATAAAACATCCCTGAAGGAATTTATCTCCAAAGATCATCCTATACAATTGAGTGCAAAAGTATTCAATGTAATTCGCAAAAGTATTCAATGTAATTCGAGTCCACACATCCTCGTGTGTGCTGCAAAGAGCATGCTACCAACAGAAGGATGGCCTTTATCACCCTTGCCTAGATAGCGGTGAAGGCTACCCCAGGACACGCAATTTGCAAAAGAGAAAAGCTGGTTGCATGAAAGCACTCTGTCCTCATTTACTCACTTCTTAGAAAAACAAAGGGCTCAGAAATACCCAGT